CATTTCACAGAAGGGCAGCTGGCATTAGCCCCGTTGCAACTTGTGAGTAATGTAGGTCTTGCTGGTCAGTCAAGTTGTGTTGTACCTGAACATTTGAAAGGTGTAAGTACTCCCTGCAAAACTAAATTCCGGGTGCCCCTACTTTTGCCGGGACACCTCGTGTACATGCCTGCATATGTACTCTTGTAATTCTATACTTTGAGTCCCAGGCTCTCTCCTCGGTCAGCACAGGCCACTTGCGAATTCTTGTGACACAGGACTCTACTATTTCTTAGCTAAAATCTGCCTTGTGCAGCTAGTGGGTTGGGTGGTGGGTGATTGCTTTGGTGAATCCCCATGCCCACTGGCCCAGACTGGGTCGTATCCCATATTCCCCACAGCAAATCCCTCACCTCCACATCACCGATCACTTGGAGTGATGGCTGTCAGTAGTAGAGGGAGTACTTTTACCCCAGATAAGGCGGACCGGGTGCTCTGCCCTCCACTTCGGTCCAAATAGGCCCCTTGGCCTCAACCATCCCTGGCAGACAGCCAGGTGTACCATTTCCCTTGAAGGCAGTGCCCTCTCCCTGTGATGTGGTCTGTTGTGAGTGGCTGGAAGGACCTGCCACCCCTCCCCATATCCCTGCAAGTACATCTGACAAGGAAGGACTTTCCCCTGCACACACGGGGGCTGCCATTTCCTTTCAGCTGCCATTTTGTGGCAGGGAGATGCCATTTTCTTATTCCACATCATAACCAAGATGTTTTCATACTGCTCTGTGAGAGTCTAACAGCCAGTTCTTGGCCCCGCCTTGCCCACCTTCTCTCAGGAAGACCTGTGATTGGCTGATAGGACCGGCCAACCCTACCCATATGCCAAGAAGCACATCAGGCAAGGAAAGCCCCTCATGGAATTGGCAACTATTGACAGTGGAATTCCCAGTGACTGAGAGTCAGTTTAGGGGGTGTCTTCAGGTCACTGTCCTAGACAGTGTGCATTCCTCTAAGCAAGTTGCATTAGCAGTGCTCTAGTCAAGGGGGTTTCAAGTTCCTCAGCTGCAGCATGGTCCTTCCAAGCAGCCCAAAGCAGGACTGCACCCCGTAGTTGGCTAGGATTCAAACTTGTGCAGGAAAAACCCAATGGATTTCTAGTCCATCGTCTTCACCACTCGGCCACAACTACCTGCCGCAGCCCTCTCTGCCCTGCTGAGCACATGCCCTGTGCAGTGACACCCGCCTCCCCAGGAGTTTTTCATCCAGGCTTCACTAGAAGCCCCGTGGTTCACACCTGCACGAAGCATGGGAGGTACCAGCCTTCCAGAGGCTTTGGAGGTTTAACCACAGGGACGGTGGCTGTAGATCCCAGCGCCTTGTCCTCAGCTGGGCATCTGGGATATCCTGACATGGGGTGGATGGGTTCACTCTCCAGCTGGCATCCCTGCTGCTTCCAGGGAAGAAGGGAAGGCAGCTCTGTAGCTATAACCAAGCACATTAGTAAATGTGGAGTGGGCTATTAACCCCTACCTTTGATTTCAAAATTATCTGAGGGACACTCCAGTCCTGCTGTGAGCAGTACGGTTGGAGCACTAGTTAGGGGGAAATGGCGATCTCCCAGCAGTACCTCCAAAAAGGTGAGAAGAAAGGTATGGTGAGAGTAAATGTGAGGTGTGGATGACTTGTAGGGAGATAGGAGAGAGATTGCTTTCTGTAATAGGCATGTCCAGTTTTTTTGTTTTTGTTTTTGTTTTTGTTTTTTTCCCTGCCCCGGCATGTGAAACAAAAAGGGGCCCAAACAATAGGCCTCAAACCAAAGTTGACTTCTGAGTGAATTCCCCGACCAGCAATCAGCATCTTATCAGCAGACTGAAGCAACCGGCATCTTATCAGCATTAAAATGTAACCCTGGGAACAATCCCTGGGAACTATAAGTAAACAATAGGAAGTAACTATAAATCCCAAATGTAAAGAAAAACAGAAACTCCTCAGACATGCCCGATCCTGGCCAGATCCGGACATGCCTGAGTGAGGCATATCAATCTACCAGATATCTTCTGTGCGTTTTGTTTAGACTTGTTTGTTAAACTGTATAAAAGCTGGACCCTCTCACAGCAAAGACGGAGACCTCACCTACGAGTGGACGCACTGCGTAAGACTTCCCAATTGCCGGGAAAGGCTCTCCGACCCTTCACTGTGATGGGGCTCCCCAGCTGATGCACGGATCTGGATGATGGTAAAGTATGAGGGCAATTGGTGATGTATCTTTCTTAATCACTATAGCTTACTTTAAATAGTAATGTCTAGGTGCATTACCTTGCTTAATCTTTCTGCTATTTTAAACTAAAGTAAAATAAGCCTATTTCTTTAGCTTGGTGTCTGCGTCCTTTGTGTTAACCCCGTCAATTGGCAAAACAGCATGCATTGCCATATTCCTGAGCATGGACCAAAATTTTAAACATCCACAAAACAATAATTTCCAGCATTAGATGAAAGTAGCCCCTATTGCCTTTTGGCTCTGGAGCAGGGATATTTGGAAAGTGGTTGTAAGAACTCTGTGTGGAGATGGTACCTGTGGCAGTGCCTCTCTGCATGCAGAGCAAGGACTAGAGGTGGTTGCAGTCAAGAGGGGAACGTGAGGAGCATCTTGAGGAACTGTGTGTGCTGAGGGCTGAAATAGGGATGCGGCCAGTCTGTGAAGTGGAGGAGCAGGAGGCCGTCCAGGCTCTGACCTGGAGGAGCAGGAGGAACCAGTGCCCCCAGGAGTGTTGCTGGAATAGTGGTGACCATGGCTGCCTTCCAAGCAGTTGACCTGGCTTTGATTCCTGGCCAATACTGGCAAATGTCTCTCCAGCCTGGCTCCAGCACAGGTGCCTGAACATATCCTGCACACAAGCTCTTTTGCTCAAATACCACCCATCTTTCCCCTGGGGTTTCAAGCCAATCCCCTGTCTTCCCTGCAGCCTTGAGGCCCGCTGAGACCAGTGCTCTCTAGTCTCTGCTGGCTGGGAGAGCTTCAAGCTGGGCTCCTCACGACAGTGCTGGTACAGGAGCCAGGAGAGAGGCTTTTCTGGCCTGACACAGAGCTGGTCCTGCTGCTGCTGTGGCTGCTTGCACCTGGCAGGGTGCAGATGAAGATCAGTAATTCCTAGGTGATGGTCACGGGACAGACCGTGCTTCATGAGGCCAGGTATGCGATTTGGCTGGCTGGTGGAAGCAGAACTTCCTCTTTACGTTATGGCTCAAAGGCCCGTCTGTCTGTCTGAACTCACCCTGGGGACACTGACCTACCCTGTCCAGGCTCTGACATTGCAGATACATCCTGAATTTTACTGGGATTTGGTGTAACGAATGATCCTAGGTGACCAGAGAAATAATACACTCTTCTCTTGCAGCTTGTGGCCTGTGGACCAAGAGAAAAGCAAGAGCCTCTCTCAGCTAGACTCTACTGGAAGGGAGTGAAGCTTCCCAACTCTCTGATTACAGGGTTTCTTAAAGAAACAAACCACCTGCCTTGCTCTGCTGATAGCCAGAAACCATTCTGGATGGTGGGCCTCTATGGAGGGTTTGTGTTAGCACAGTATTGCCAGACTCCCACTCTGTCAGGAGCAGTGCTACAAATCGCTGGAATTATGAAGAGGGGCATCGTGAATGTGTATGTTCATTCTCTGCTGAAATGCCACACGAACCCCATCTGGCAGTCACACTGCCTCCGTCTGGAGATCACAACCAGTGCTTTCCTCCTTTCCACTCCATACCCATCCCCTGGTGTTTATTCCCACACCAAAATAGTAAAAGAGAGAATTGCCAGGTCTCTTTTTCATACGATTTTGTGAACAACAATTGAGAGAACCTGAAATGATATTTCAAAATATACGTATTAAATTTTACAATGGAGAATTCCGCAAATGACCCCCAGGGCCTATAATCACCAGGTTACAGGCCCATATTCAATACCTACAAGGCTTTTTAGTAGCTCTGAAATGAGTCCAGGGAACTTAACCAACAACCACTGTTAAGCTCAGGACAGAAGCCATCGCCTATCCTTGCAGAGAAGATGCTTAGCTGGGAGAGGAGAAGAACAAACTGCCATGACTCTCTAGCTCTGCTGCACAAAGTCTTTAATGAGAAGGGGGGAAATGCAGTGGAACAGAACAGAGACCAAGGAAAACATCTTCAGGATTGAGGGACAGCACAGAGGATGGCCCGTTCCCCAAGGACAAGCTGCACACAAAGTGCTTGCCTTTTCCCATTCTGCTCTCCCTGGTGGCAATGGCAGCACACCAAGAGCGGTCTCTAACTCCAGAATCCTCTCCTTTTCAGCAGGGGGTTCAGCAAAGCAGAAGAGAAAGGAGCCCATTCCAGAGGGCTCAGAAGCAAAGAAGAGCCAGAGGAGACACAGGCCACACCAGCCGTGCAGCGAGGAGAAGTGAGCACAGGTCACTCCTGCCAGGTGGCATGAAGGACAACCAGCCTGTCTGCAAGACATGTCCACGATCCTGCTGCTGCAGGGTCCTGTCTTCCGTCCTGCTCCCGAGGGGATGAGCCGCCAGCTTCAGCAGTTCAGACTGCAGCGGGGGACAGGCAGACACATCCCAGACCCACCCAGACCAATGGAGCCCCCAGAAGAGATGGGAACTCCCCCGGCACTGAGGGAGCTCCCAACAGCAGCTGACAGAGACGATCCCACGGCCTGTACTCTGAGGGAAAGAGTTGAGGATGGGGCCTGGCAGGGTCACCACCACCGGCGAGGGCTCGATGAACACCGTCGAGTCAGCGCAGCGGGCGACACAGGGCTCACTGCAGCTGCTTGCAAGTGGGGTTGGGCCAGAGGCACAGCAGGGCCGTGGGGGACAGGGTCTGAAGCAAGACATCTCTCGGTGAAGGAAGCAAAGCTGCAACACAGAGCAGGAAGGAAACACAGACCCAAACATCAACTTGGCTCTCATGTCCACAGCTCTCTCTGCAGATACACTTGGCTGCTCTCCATCTCCATTTCTAGCTGCAGGTGCAGGATATGCCTGCACCTGATCTTTCTAACACACACAACGTGCGTGACGTATTCCCCTAAGTTGGATTTGAAGCACTGGGAGCAAAGATGTGCCTAACTGGCTGCTGATTGCACCAGGACCTCCTGCTGCATTTCCCAGTGCAATAGCACAGACTGAAGATTGATGCAAGTATCCCAGCACAAATGGGCTGCGTTGAATGGGTGTCTCAGAAATCACCTCTTAAACACACATAGTCTTCTACAGCTCGTAATGCACTCCTCTGAGTAGCACAGTGCAGGAACGCTGACCCACTTTGGGATAGGACCAAGCCCAGTGGGTTTAAAGCACCTGATCATACCCCATCTCCAGAACAACTGTTGTTGCATTGATGAAGCACTTGGCCATTTGGTTAGAGAGCATCTGCTGCGGGTGCAAATTCTGGTGAGGCAGACACCCCTACAGCTGAGCCCCATTGATACCCTTCTGCTTGAAAGAACACCCTCTTCCCATTTTTCCGCAGCCACATCCAGCAAAAGGGACAGAGGTGACAGCCCTTCAACAGTTCAATTGCACTGCCAAGATGACGCGGAGAAATATCAACCTGAGAAACCACCATGGCAGCAATTCTGCCTACAGAGAGAGACATGGAGTAGACCGAGACTTACCTCGTTCCTCGAGTAAGGGAAGCAACAGAGGAGGATGCAGAGCCTGGAGCAGCGCAGGCTTTTATGCTGTGTCCCAGAGCCCTGTGGGGCCACAAACATTCCTTGCTCATGAGGCATGTAAACACATAGCAGCTGCCACTTGGGAAGACCTTGCTGGTGATTAAACCTTTAGCTCTTTCATCTGAATTTCTTTTCTCTGACTTGATTCCAAATAGCATCAAATAACGCGTTATGGAACGGTTTGGGCTGGAAGGGACCTTTCAGAATATGTAATTCTGACTCTCCTACCATGGGCACGGACACCTTCCACTGGACCAGGTTACTCAAAGCTTCATCTAATTTGGCATTAAACACTTCCAGGGAGGGGGCATCCACAACTGCGCTGGACATCCTGTTTCAGTGTCTCACCATTTCACTCATTGACGAGGTACAGGTTCTTTCCTCTTCCTTTGTTCTCCTATGTACCTGAAGAAACATCTTCTTGTTACTTTTCATACCCTAGCCAAGTTCAGCTCCAGAAATGCCTTGGACTTCCCGAATATCCTCCTTGCACTTCAAGGCCATTTGCCTATAATCTCCCCACAATGTCTATCCCTGCCTCTGCTGCCTATTCCTTTTGGGTTTGTGTTTTATTTTTCTGAGAGGTCTTGATGTTACCAAGCTGGCCTCCTGCCTTCCCTGCCCGACTTCTTGCATGTCGGGATTGAGAGCTCTTGCTCCCTCAGAAAAATGTCTTTCAGTATCTCCCAGCTCTGGTTTGCTCCTATACCTCTGAGGGTAGTTTCCCAAGGGATCCCATGCACTAGTGTCCTAAATGGGCAACCATTTGCCTTTCTGAGGTTTAGGTTCCTGACTCTACTTATTACCTGTCCTGCACTCCTCAAAACTGAGAAATCCACCAGGGCGTGACTGCTGCAGCCCAGGCTACCTCCAATCTTGACCTCTCTGATTGCTCTTCCACTCTAGCAAACAACACGTCCACCAGTGCCTCTCCTCTGGTCAGGCTCTTCGTCACATGTACTTGGACGTTGTCCTCAACACACTCCAGTAGTTCCCTGGGTTGCTTGTAGTTCGCTGTGCCGCTTCGCCAGCAGATGTCCTGGAGGTTGAGTTCTCCTATCAGATCAGGGCCTGGTAGAGTGTGATGTTTCCTAATATTGAAATGATCCATCTGAATCTCTGTATCCCAGATTCATAAGGGCAATCAACTCCAAGGTCTCGGGGCAGCCTGGAGGAAGATTTTAGGTGACGTTGTGTCATACGGATTGCCTTTGTCACTTTGCCCTCTTCATGGTGAGCTTGTCCACCAATCATGCTGAAAATCAGCTACGAAGATGGACACCTCGAGTTATCTCTGAAGTGTTTTCAGTGCTGGCACTCAAGCGAACCCTAAGAGACATCTGCCCAAGCGTCATAGTAGACACACAGTAGAGACTTGAGAAGTTGAGGTGGAAGATCAAGACTACCCAATCCTATACAAGAGAAGAGACTCACCACTTCAGGGATATGGAAAAGCTCAATGACAAGAAAGGGTCATTCTGGGCTGGAGCAAAGCCCATTGCATGTAGGATTGAGGGCCATGAGGACCTTCCTCACGCTCAAACAGCTCTGCCACAGCCTGTTTTTTATGACCACATGTCCAGGGAATGAAGGCACATTTGTAACAACAGGGAGCAGACCAGAGGATCAGGCAGGTCTCTTTCAGGTAATGTCTCCATGGGATCTCCATCGCCATATCCCTTGATTAACTTAACATTAAGCTTGGTCTGCTCAGAGCAGGAGGTTGTCCCAGAGCCATTCCAGAAGAACCATCCATCCCACATCATTCTGGGCTGCACTCACTCTCGTGGGTCCCTGAGCAGCCACTGGCAGGCAATGCCTTAGAAGGCAGAAGCTGCACGAGGTTGCACAGAAGCACCAGTTGATTCAGGAATGGTGCTAAAATGTTTTTCCTTGCAGAAAGCCGCAAATTGGGACTATGAGGTCTGGTATCCCTGGCACAACTGAGGCTGGGCGACCGTGTCCACTGACGTCGAAAGCAGGGTGAGTCCTGCTTGCCAGCAGCTCTGGGATTTTCCCAACTCTTCCACATCATGATGACTCCCAGGTGCTCTGAGACTGATCCAATGTGCCTTTGTAGTGTGAAATGCTTGGAATTGACCACCCCCTCTCTGAATCAGGAAAAAGGGCCATGAGGTTTTCATTCCCTGCCATTCACCTCTCCTCCTAATCAGGCAAGCCACACCTCCGTCCTCTGGGATGACCTTACAGAGACAAACGGGTCAATTTGGGTGTGGGTCTCCTTCAGGGAAGGACGCCGGCAAGTCTTTGATCACAAAACCAGTCTGTGGTAGAGCCTGATGAGCGTAAACAAGGTCCCTGTGACCATCATCACCCCTGCCCACAGGGGGCTTCCCTCCACCTCACAGTGGTCTTTCCTTTCCATTGAGCTTTGCCACGTCCCTGGAGTCGTGCGTCTCTCCTCCCATATGGGATTGTGCAGTCTTGAATTTTGCCTGAACTTACCCACTGCCTCCTGTGTGTCTACGATCACCCATGAAGAGAATTGTCCCTCTGGTTTTAGACTGAGTGCCTGCAAAGAAAGCATTTGAGAGAAGACTTGAGGTGCCCTGTATGGTTGAATTTCACCATGACACATGGACAAGTTAACAATGAAGAGGGCAATGAGACCAAAGGGATTTTTATGAGGCAAGTCAACTAAAAATATCTGTCTATCCTGCATAAGAATTCGGAGTTAATTGACTTTATGAACCTAGGATACAGAAGAATGGTTTTGGTGTTCGATGTTATGAGAAGGAGGACAATATGTGGGATGTAAGAAGCGAGGGCTTAATCACCAGGGAAGCCTTGGGAGGCGGAAACTCCTAGGTGTTCAGATGCTTCATGAGCAAGGAACGTTTGTGGCCCCACAGGGCTCTGGGACACAGCATAAAAGCCTGCGCTGCTCCAGGACCTGCATCCTCCTCTCTTGCTTCCCTTTCCTCGAGGAACGAGGTAAGTCTGGGTCTGCTCCATGTCTCTCTCCGTGGGCTGAACTGTTGCCATGGTGGCCACTCAGGATGATATTTCTCTACCTCAGGTTGGCCCTGAAATTGAACATTTGAAGGGCTGTCACATCTGTCCCTTTTGCTGGACGTGGCTGCAGAGAAATGGGAAGAGGGTGTTCTTTCAAGCAGAAGGGTATCAATGGGGTTCAGCTGTAGGGGTGTCTGCCTCACCAGAACTTACGCCTGCAGCAGATTCTCTGTAATCAAATGGCCAAGTGCTTCATCAATGCAACAACAGTTGTTCTGGACATGGGTAATGCTCAGGTGCTTTAAACCCACTGTGCTTCATCCTATCCCAAAGTGGGTCAGCGTTCCTGCACTGTGCAACTCAGAGGAGTGCATTACAAGCTGTAGGAAGACTGTGTGTTTTTAAAGGTGATTTCTGAGACACCCATTCAACGCAGCCCATTTGTGCTGGGATACTTGCATCAATCTTCATCTGTGCTATTGTACTGGGAAATGCAGCAGGAGGTCCTGGTGCAATCAGCGTCCAGTTAGGCACATCTTTGCTCCCAGTGCTTCAAATCCAACCTTAGGGGGATAGGTCATGCACGTTGTGGGTGTTAAAAAGATCAGGTGCAGGCATTTCCTGCATGTGGAGATCGAATGGGGATGGAGAGCAGCAAAGTGTATCTGCAGAGAGAGCTGTGGACATGAGAGCCAAGTTAATGTTTTGGTCTGTGTTTCCTTCCTGCTCTGTGTTGTAGCTTTGCTTCCTTCACAGAGAGATGTCTTGCTTCAGACCCTGTCCCCCACGGCCCTGCTGTGCCTCTGGCCCAACCCCACTTGCAAGCAGCTGCAGTGAGCCCTGTGTCGCCCGCTGCGCTGACTCGACAGTGTTCATCGAGCCCTCGCCAGTGGTGGTGACCCTGCCGGGCCCCATCCTCAACTCTTTCCCTCAGAGCACCGCTGTGGGATCGTCTCTGTCAGCTGCTGTTGGGAGCTCCCTCAGTGCCGGGGGAGTTCCCATCTCTTCTGGGGGCTCCCTTGGTCTGGGTGGGTCCGGGATGTGTCTGCCTGCTCCCCCGCTGCAGTCTGAACTGCTGAAGCTGGTGGCTCATCCCCTCAGGAGCAGGATGGAAGATGGCACCTTGCAGCAGCAGGAGCGTGACCATGGCTTGCAGACAGGCTGGGTGTCCTCATGCCACCTGGCAGAAGGGACCTGTGCCCACTTCTCCTCGCTGCACGGCTGGTGTGGCAGTGTCTCCTCTGGCTCTTCTTTGCTCTGAGCCCTCTGGAAAGGTCTTATTCTCTTCTGCTTTGCTGAACCCCCTGCTGAAGGGGAGAGGGTGCTGGAGTTAGGCATCACTCTTGGTGGGCTGCCGTTGCCACCAGGGAGAGCAGAATGGGAAAAGGCAAGCGCTTTGTGTGCAGCTTGTCCTTGGGTAATGGGCCATCCTCTGTGCGTCCCTCAATCCTGCAGATGTGTTTCTTGGTCTCTGTTCTGTGCCACTGCATTTCCTCCTTCTCATTAAAGGTTTTGTGCATCATAGCTGGAGACTTATGGCTTGTTTTTTTTCTGCTCCTTCGCCGTTTGGCCAAGTCCTCTGCAAGGGAAAGGGAGAACCTTTTCTGTGCAGTGACGGTGAGTCTGTCGCCAATCTCGGGGCACCACCAGTTGTGGGTGGAGCTCCCTGATCTTGTAGAAGAGCGCCAAAAAGAAAGAAGCTGGCAAAAGAGAGACAGAAAAACGTCAGTAGAATGGAGAGATCAAGAATCAATGGACAGGAGTGGAAAGAAAAGTAGTGCCACACACAGGAGCCCTGTCTTACCGTGAGGCTGGTCAAAAATGGGAAAGCTTTGCCCAGGGAGTACTGTAGAGTCTCCATTTTCAGAGATGTCCAATATCTGACCAGAGAAGGCCCGAAGGAGACCAGCGAGAGCAGGGCCCAGTGTCTGAAGGCCTTGTAAAAAGGTGGAGGAAACACCCTTCCAGGGGCTGTGGCACAGGGAAAGGGAAAGCTTTTTTCTGTACATTTGCTGTAATGCCATTGGAGGGGACATGTCTCTTCTGGTGTCAGACAGTGGATCTCCAAGCAACAGAGGATGTTCCTGGGCTTCTTCCCAGGATCACTGGTCTCACCCAGCACTCGGGGATCCCAGAGGGGCTCTGTATGAACAGCTGTATGGGCTTGTGCAGGCAGCTTCCTTGCTCAGGGTATTTTGTCCTTGGTTTCCTTCCTGGCAGCGTTGCCTGCTGGGACTAACGTGCTCCCAAGCCCATTTCCTTCCCCAAGGCCATGGTAACTGCTGCTACCTATGTAGCCTCTGATGCTACTCTTCCCTGCAGGATCCTGTGGGGAGGATAATCTGTGCCACCCTTAGAGGCTTCAGAGAGGAGGCAGAGATCTCCCAGAGCTCCCCAGCCCTTGGGAAATGCAGGTCAGGTCATGCTGGCTCACACAGGAGGCCAGGCCACCCCCAGCTCCTGCACTCCCGAGGTCTTTCTGGCAGAGGGCAGGCCTTGGCAAGCCAGAGAGCCACCTTCACACAGCGGAAGACCCCTCACCTTCTGCTCTCCAGCCTAAACAAACCCAGCTCCTTCAGCATCTCCCTCAATCACAACGTGCACCAGCATGGAGATTCCCTATCCTGTCAGCAGTGCTGGAGAGAAATGCCCCAGTGTCGGGGGAGACAAAATGGAAATGCATGCTAGGCCTTGGAACACACCCCTCAGCCTGAACACGAATCCCCAGAGCCTGCTATGTCCCTTTTGGGCTCATACTGGTGGGCCTTTACTGCCTCCTGCCCCTCTTCCCACTGATGCTGGTTGCGTTTGCAGGTGAGGAACTGCCAATTCAGGGAAACTGTCTGGCTTGAAACCCTGCTGGTCAATGCCACGTCCTGGATCGGCACCTACAGTGTGTTCCACTGCATCTGAAAGAGAGAAGGATGCATCTCAGGGGTTCTTCAGCCTTGGAATCAGAGGGCAGGATAGCTCCCAGATGACTAATGAGAGGGAAAAGTTGTCCTCTTTTCCAGAAAAGGGGAAGAAGGTCTATGTAGGGAACTATGTAAAAGTGCTGATAAATTGGAACAAGTTCAGTGGAGGTTCCCTAGGCTAGACAGGCGCCAGGGACTCTGGCCTTGTGAGGGAGGCCTGAGGACACAGGGCTTGCTTAGCAGGGAGAAGAAAATGCTTTAGGAGGCATCTGATAGGAGCCTCCTAGTGCCTACAAGGAGGCTACCGTGGTGGCTGGACGATGAGAGCTGTGGTCAGAAATTGACCAGGCAGTTTGTAACTGGCTACAGGAAAATATATCATTACCCTGAGGGTGCCTATGGATGGGAACAGAGAACCAGAGAAGCTGCAAAATGACTGTCCTCAGGGTATTTTATGACTCAGAGGGAGAAGCAATGCTCTGCCGGTGTGAGCCTATTGAAGAAGAAGTATGCAGTCTCAGACTCCCTGGCCTGCCTTCCAAGCAGAAGGATTGTTGGAGGGCAAAGTGGGAGCAGGAAGTGGGTATTTTGTGGGTGCTGCCTCGTGGACACTTCCTGGGGCATCAAGGGGGCTTCCTTCTTCCCTGCACATAGCTGGGAAGGCTGGTGAAGGAGGGCTCTGCCACACCAGCCCCTGGGGCAATGCTGTGCTGGTCTCAAGGAGTCACTGTGTGGGAGAGGGGCTGGAGAGTCAAGGAGAAAGGACAGGAGATGTGCCAAGTGCAGAGCAATGACTGAGCTCCAGTTGCTGTGGGCAAGAGGCTCCCTTACTGCCCATGGTGCAGAGGAAGGAGGGCACAGCTCTCTCTGGGGCTTGTTGTTTCATGGCAGGCTCTAGACTGCAAGGTACCTTGGCAGATCACTGGCCCAAATGCCTGCTCAAAGCAGGGCTGGCCTCAAGCCAGGGCGTGCTGAGCAGTGCCTAAGCCCCACTGAAACCTGACTGTGATACGCAGGCACGGAGACTTCCAAAAACCTCTGGGCACCTGCTCCAGTGCTTCAACACTCCCTGAGAATCTATGAATGGTGAAAGCAGTCTCTGTCATCTCCTTTTGCCAAGGGACGCCTTTGTGTTCTGGGTTAGGTTGTGTCCAGAGGCCTCTCTGTGATGAAAGGCTCTGGGAGAGTCGAGGGTAGCGTCTCGACTGCCCCATGGGAGCTGAGTTTGCTGAGTGAAGGAGGATTTTTGGAGCAGGGGAGGCAAGACACTTGTGGAGACTAGCTAAAGAAAAATTTGTCTGCACTGTCCAGGACTGGAACGCAGGTCAACTGCTTGGAAGGCATCTACGCTCTACCACCTACCACCAATGCTCCTGGTGGCCTGTTGCCTCCTGCTCCTCCACTTCCCAGACTGCCCAGCCGCCTGCACACACAGATGACCTCAAGCTGGTTGTTGCTGGGAGTTTTCAGAGTTTGTCAGGTGTTGGCTAGGAAACCTGAAGCTTTACTAGCCGCTGGCTCGGGGAGATCAGCATCAGGGACTGGCCAGGTTTAGAGAATGACACTGGAGAAACCGGGACAGAGCTCTGGGCATGGACGCTGCACAGAGCTATGATAAGGGCAGGGATCCCAGGGACCTACTGTTGTGCATGTGGGAGGGAGGGGATCTGTGTCCAGCCCTGATCTCCAACCCTAAGCAGCTGGGGGCAAAGAAAAGGATCAGACCGTCACTCTTGTCCATGCCTGTGTGAGTGGTGCTGGTGCTTCTGTGGGTGCTGGTAATGGTGCTGCTCCCCATGTGCGGACAAACACGTGCCAGTTCTGCATGTACTATTCAAGTGTATGTGTGGTCATGTGTATGTACCTGTGTTGGTAGAGGCACAGATGCTCACTCACCCCGTTGCTCATTCCTTTCTCTACGTTCCGCCCCAACACCTACCCATATACTGCCACCAATGAGCCCATTGGGAATACCTGCTCAGCCCTGCTCCTGGCTGGCCCTGCGAGTGGGCACAGCAGCAAACAGACTAGGATGGAGAAAGTGCCCTGGTGCTCAAGTTGATCACACCAGTGTATTCAAAACTAACTCCAGCCGTGTCCTCCTCCCCACTAGCAGATTCCTGGAGGTCCCTGCTGGCAGCTGGGAAGTTGGGATTGAGCAGCCTGATGGGAAGGGAGAAACACAACTGCGTGCCCAGGACACCCACTTCCTCGTGTGGGGAGCTCTGCCTGCTGCTCCACACGCAGCTGTCTGTCTTGCCGAGGGACACTTTGGGAGCACTGTCTGCTAAGAAGGCAATGAAAGAATAAGGTGAGTGGCAGAGAGAAGGGAGTGGGAGCTCAGGAGGGCCATGGCCATGGGTGCGCAGAGAGCAGGAGCAGTGCATGTTAAAGCTTGCTGGGAAAGATGCAAGGGAGAGGCAGCGACTCTGCTGCTGGAACGCCAAGAAAGAAAAAAAAAATTAAAAATGCCATTAGCAGTGGATGGTTTCGATCCAGTGACCTCTGGGTTATGGGCCCAGCACGCTTCCACTGCACCACTCTGCTCCCCCCAGGATGCCAGCTGGGACTTCTCACAGCCAGGCCTGATGCTCCCTGGCACTGCCAGCACTCACGCCTCATTCCTTTCCTGTATCCTGTGCCCTCACCCAGGCTGGATACATGTCTGCCTGGCTACCTCACTGGAAGTGGGACTGGGGTGGGAAGCTTAAGGGCCTTGCCTTGCCCTTCTCCCCACCTCTCCTGTCCATCACCCTGGATGGGGACTTTCTCTTTGGCCCCCTGAGCTGGCTCTGGAGGAGCTGAAGGAAACCCTGGGACGAGGGGTGCACATAGTGATGCCTCAGCCTGATTCATGGAGGACCCCAGTAGGGATGACAGCACGGTTTTATGTATGTTACAATACAGTTCTGCTAACCAGTCACCTTACTCATGCTATCGAGTGAGCTAATGAGTTCATATTGGAAATGTATGCAACTTGTGATTTTCCCATCAATACATTCTTGTCACATGTACTTGGAGTGGTTTTATACTAGATTTTGGTTAGCCGCACTTGTGGCCGTGGTTACATGCCTGGTGCTTTTTGATGACAAATCTACCATTGTTTTGTCATCTGCATGGGGTGTTCTCAGCCATTGATAGCTGATTTAAGAGAGGTCTTCAGGTCACCCTTCGGTAAAAGCTCTTAGTCCTAGGCAGTGTTTGTTCCTTTAAGCAAGTTGTACTTGTATAGCAGTTAGCACCTTGCCTTTCAGAGCAGCCGTGTGGGCCTTCCCCTGCCCGTGCTGTGCTGTGCTGTGGTGTGCCAACAGCTCCTGGCTTGGCCTCCCTCCTGACACAGCCCTGCCCTCGCTGCTCCCCCACAGCCCAGGGCATCCCCTGCCACCATGCAGGGTGCCAAAGAGTCTGAGAAACCCCTCCTCTCTGCGCCCGGTGCCATTCCTGTCCGGCCCAACACGGCTGGGGGTGGAGGTGGCTCCCCATCAGGCCAGGGCAGGGCCAGACCAGCCAGACTGAGTGCTCACTAAACTTAGATCCTGTGAGATATTCCAGGAAGTCTCTGGACTGGCTGAGCTTGTAGATCCTGCTTCCCAGGGCAAGGAACAAGGTGG